CATTACACACTTTCAGCAACCTTAGCTTCTTTCATGGACAGTTTTTTGCTTAGACGAGAAGGAAGCCTAGACATTCTCAATTCTCAAGCTTTCCGTTCTAAAAGTGTAAGAGTGTACTGCAGTGTTTCAACTTAAACGGTCACATATTTTCAAAGTTGGTGCTGGAAACAGCATTTCGTTTCGAGTAGTAGATTCCTTCATGGCTTTTGCACAGTCCCACCCGGGAGCCTCCTAATTTCTCTCAAACTCAAATCTCCATCGCAGAGAACGGGAATCCAGGCGCCTAACATTGGTCGAGCTAGCTCAGGGTTGAGCTGTGCACGCGTGTGCGAGTTGCGGTTCCCATCCACTCCCGAATAGCTACTGCTGTTCTGACCATTGCTGATCCCGGCTCTTACGATCCTCAATTCACTGCACCTGACACAACCCCCTCGTTGAAAATTTATCGACACACGCTTGACCCTGGTGGAGACCCTTGAGTGGACTACCCTCCTGACCCTCCCTCTTGGCTCCGACCACGACCAATTTACCAATTTTGGTTGTAACGTGAAGTGACTGATGCACACCACAGATCCATAAAAGTCATCCAATGGTTAGTTGGTACTCGGTCCCTACATACACAAAAGTAATCGAGGCTATCAACAGCGAAAAATGGAGGCATGTGTTACGTTGCTGTCCTGCGTTCCAACTTCGGAACTGGATTTTGTCCACTATTGTTCTTGAAAGAACAGATACCGCTACAATTTCGTCTCCAGGGATAGCTCGTGCTGAAAACCAGGAGTATCGCATACGGTGAGGAAATTTTGAAGCACGCGCGAGGGAGCCGACTGTTTAGAATTTGTAAGCAGTTATCGATGACGTTTGTTGTCTCGGCGCTAGCGTTTCCAACGCTAATACAAGGTGTTTCCGTACCAAACTAGTCGGGTACTCTTCTTCAGGATACTGAACCTCTCTTTTCTAGCTTCATTGCTGCGAAGAGCGAAAATTGCAGGAAAGAGTGAATGGTGCCAGAAGTGAACACTGTACGAGGGCATTACTTTGAGATCTAGGTTTATCTAATTGGTGGGGAGGGGGAGGGGGTTTACTTGCTAAAAAGGAACGTGATCTCAAAAAAAAAACTACCATAGATTTCGAATTGTTGTTGCTTCAACTCAACGTCGATCTTTTCTCGTGGATTGGCCATCACCAAAGCTGGCCTTCAGATCACACCTTTAGAACGATTCCCACAGTTTACAAACCCTCACGTGATAACAATAGCGAGATTCAAACTTTTATTTTGGACAACATTAATGTCACCATGAAGAGAAGTCTGACAACGAGGTTTTAACTGCTTTCTTCTTTAACAAGACAGGTGTTGAAGAAGCCTGAAATATAATCGCAAAGAGCTACAGCAAAAACAAGATTTATTAAGACCAAAATAAGCGTGAACTAACGTCTCCAACAGCTGGCCTTTTATTCTGCGGATTAATATACTTTCCAACCCCCGATCCGAACGCTTTAGGCTTTGCTGCAGCATCTCTTTTGGCTTCAGCTTCCTTTTCTGCGTCTAAAATTGAATATGTTAAATAGCAAGAAAAGAAGAATCACAAAAAAGTGGTTGAAAAACTGAGAAATGAAAGGTAGCTTTAGAAGATATAAGCCCAAAACGCAAAAAACAAAACCAATGAGCAATTAATTCCACAACTCGCCTTTATTTAGTAAGTTGGCTCGTTCTTTTTGCACGTCAGCTTCAGCCTCTTCAAATGGATCCACAAAAACCTCAGCACGCATAAAAATTACAGGCTGAAATACTGAGACTATGAAAAGATTACGAGAGAAATAAATATAATAAACGAAATTACTTCTTTTGGAGTATCACTGCCTTCAGTTTCGACTCTTTCAATGGAATTTAAGGTGTCTTGACCACCAACGACACGACCAAATATGGAATGCTTCTTATCGAGGTATTTACATGGACGAAAAGTAATGAAACTGAAATGAACGGAGTTTGAAAGAATATTCGACCAAGATACTATCATTTGAGAAGAATGAGATAATAGGAATGGGAAAAGGGAAGTGCTCAGCCCTAAATTACATTAGGCAACATTCTTCAACTGGGAGTCCTCTTATCAATAACAAAATAAGATAGTAAACTCTATAGTTGCCTTGTCCAATGAATATAAAATGATGTTTGAGAAAATATTTTCAAAAAAAGCAGAAATTAATCTTTGCTTTGAACTCATTACTGGGAGGGATTGAGAGGGTGACCAGAAAAGAGCTTTGTCAAGGGATAACTCACATGAAAAAAGTGCTGCGCAACAACCCCACCCCAATCTTAGTAGGCTATTTCTCTAGTCTTTTTCGATAATAGCACACCTACCGAATTTCTTCATTTTATATACTTAAACAAGTATCTTGATGTGCTACGGAACCAATCAACTTCGAAAACTTACAATTGTGATTGATTCGTGTTTGTCCCTTTGTTGGCCATAGAAAGAACTCCTCGTGAATCGTGAGAAAGACCCTAAAACGTAGAAATAAAATGAAAACTGTACAGATTGACTGCTCGAAGAAAGTGTATTAAGAACATTTTTGAAC